AAGCTTTTTGAGATTATACAGCTTTTTTTTTTGCAGTATCGGGCCTCTTACCGTTGTGGCCTCTCCTGTTGCGGAGCACAGGCTCCGGACGCGCAGGCTCAGCGGCCATGGCTCACGGGTCTAGCCGCTCCGCAGCATGTGGGATCTTTCCGGACCGGGGCACGAACCCGTGTCCCCTGCATCGGCAGGCGTACTCTCAACCACTGCGCTACCAGGGGAGCCCCGAGATTATACAGCTTTGTCAATCCTTGAAAGTTAGAATCGAGTGAAATAATTTGTTCACATTTTAAAATTTCTATATTGGAAAAAGTGAACTAATGATTTAGATAATTCTCTTTTGATTCCAGTAATATTTTCCTCAACTTTTTCTAATATTCCGTCACTGAACAAGTTGAAAAAGTGAACATAACTATCTTTTTTTGCCTGCCCTTTTAATCTATTTGCCAAGCAGGGATATATATAGATTTGCCTTAAAATTTGGTTTATAATTTTCTGGTAATGTTAAATTCTAGCTTTGGGTTTCTGGTAGCTAAGGATTTGTGACCTCCCCACCCCCCAGCCCAATATGTATAGAAATCATATGGTAAGAGGCGATCATATCTTTTTAATTGTAGTAAAAATAACAAAATTTACTGTTTTAACCATTTTTAATGCATAGTTCAGTGACATTAAATACATTCATATTGTTGTGCTGCAACCATCACTGCTATTCATCTCCAGAACGTTTTCATCCTCCCAAACTGAAACTCTGAACCCTTTAAACAATAATTTTCCATTTCCCTCTACCCATAACCCCTGGCAACCTCCATTCTCCATTCTATTTTTATGAATTTTACTGTTCTAGGCATTTCAAATAATTGGAATCATACACTATTTGACCTTTTATATCTGGCTTATTTCACTTAGCATAACATCTTTAAGTGATTATATTTTAAAAATTATTGTCAAGTTTGGGTATTGGTGGATGAGGTAATTTAGATAGAGCCTCTCTCTGTGAACCAAAACAGTTGGACAGAATATTTAAAAGAAAAAAGTCTATTTGGAGAGCTTACATGGCAATGAAGAATTATGGGTCCATGACCTAAAAGCAGAAAGAACCAGAGAAGTGAGCCCAACTTGGGACGTATGTTTACCTGGAACCACATATCAGTTTTGAAAGAGGGGACTGAGTAGCTGAACAGAGCTTTTGGAAGATCCCTGGGACTAGTAGAACAAAAATTATAAGTTAGGGCCTGCTAATGAGGGGAGGGTTGTCTTGGTAATCCCTCAGGCCATGATTTGGGACCCAGAAGCCCCATACCCTGGGGAAGAAGTTTGACTCCTAAGTAGACTGGCATTTACAGGAACTGATACTCAGCCTCTAATGACATTTTAATCACTTTTGGATTAAGGTAATTTGAGATTGTTAGTTTCCCTAGCTGCTTGTCAGAAACAAATGTAAATCTTCCCTGGAAAAATAGAACATCATTGTAGGCCTCAAAATTTCCATATAGTTGTCCATAGACAATGTCTGGCATTCAGTCAAAATGACCAGAATGCGATGAGACAAGAGGAACAGTAATAGAACAGACCCACTGGGAATCCAGTTAATGGGATTACCAGAAATTGACTTTAAAATAACTGTGCTTAGGGCTTCCCTGGTGGCGCAGTGGTTGAGAGTCCGCCTGCCGATGCAGGGGACATGGGTTCATGCTCCGGTCCGGGAGGATCCCACATGCCGCAGAGCGGCTGGGCCTGCGCCTCTGGAGCCTGTGCTCCGCAATGGGAGAGGCCGCAACAGTGAGAGGCCCGCGTACCGCAAAAAAAAAAATAAAATCATGTAACTGTGCTTAATATATTCAAGGAAATAAAAGATAAGATTGAGAATTTCAGTAGAGAACTGGAAACTTTTTTGAAAAAAGAGCCAAATGGAAATGTTGGAATTGAAAAATAAAATAACTGCTATTAACAACTCAGTGATGGGTTCTACAACAAATTAGAACCCACTAAAAAGAATTAGTAAACTGGATATAAGTCAGAAGAAAATATTCAGTCCAAAGCTGTGATGTTCTGAGAGAGAAAAATATGGACATACGAAAAAGCTTAAGAGACATAGGAAATACAGTAAAAAAGTATAAGGTATACACATATGTTATTGGAGTCCCAGGGGAGAGGAGAGAATGGGGCAGGAGCAGTAATTGAAGACATAATAGTGAACAAGAATTTTCAGAAGTGATGAAAGGACATCAACTTAGAAATGCTGTTAATCTTAAATGGAATAAATACAAAGAAAACCACATATAGACCCATCATATTAAAATCACTGTAAACTAAATTCAAGGTGAAACTCTTCAGAGCAGTCAGTGAAAAAAGGACAACTTTAAAGAAGCAACAATAAACTGTCAGCTGACTTCTCGGTAGAAACAGCAAAAACTTAAGAGGCAGTAGATTGCAAAGAACTAAAAGAAAATACGTGGCCACTTAAAGTTCCAAACCTGATACAAATAGTCTTCAAAAATCAAGGTGAGGGCTTCCCTGGTGGCGCAGTGGTTTAGAATCTGCCTGTCAATGCAGGGGACACGGGTTCGTGCCCCGGTCCGGGAAGATCCCACATGCTGCGGAGCGGCTGGGCCCGTGAGCCATGGCCGCTGAGCCTGCGCGTCCAGAGCCTGTGCTCTGCAACGGGAGAGGCCACAACAGTGAGAGGCCTGCGTACCGAGGGGAAAAAAAAAAAAATCAAGGTGAAACAAAGGTATTTTCTTACAAGCCAAAATGGAGATAATTCATCACCAGGAAATCTGCTTCGAATGAAATTCTAAAGGGTGTTCTTCAAGATCAGAAATGGTCCGAACAGAAGCTTGGAGAGGGCAGAAGGAATAAAAAGCAACAGAAAATGTAACTATTGGGTAAATCTTAAATGATCATCAACTGTATAAGACTACTAATAATGTTTTATGGGGTTTAAAATATCAATGGAATTAAAACACCTGATAAAACTAGTGTAGGACTCCTAGGATGGGCATTGGAAGAAAGGGAATGTTATTGGAGATAAAGTATTGTAAGTCCTTGTATTGTTGAGGTAAAGATAAAAATACTAGTTTTTATTTGTCTTTGATAAGTTTAAGGTACCTGTTGTAATCTCTAGGGCAACCACTAAAACAACAGTGAAAACATGTATAACTAGCAAGCTAATAGAGGGGACAATAATAAACAACTCTAAAAGAAGGTATGATAGATTTAGACCCAAATTTATATATAATTTGCATTAAATGTAAATGGACTGAACACTACAATTAAAAGCAGAGACTGGCAGATTGGATAAATAACACAAAATTGATAGTATAAAATTATAGCTGCACACAAAGGACTGAGAACAGCCAAAGCAATATTGAGGAGAACAGCAAAGTAGGAGGACATACTCTAGTGGCTATCAAGACTTACTATAAAACTACAATAATTAAGGCACTGATGTTGGCTCTAAGATAGGCATATTGGCTAGTAGAACAAAATAGAGCCATTTAGTCACTTCATTTATGAAAAAGGTAAACCTGCAGCAAGTTAATAGATAGTGCTGCATCAACTGGACAGCCATATTGAAACAAAAAGGAAACTTGAACCTTATATCATACCATAGGCATAAATCAATTCCAGTTGGATTGGAGACGTAAATATGAAAGTTAATACAATAAAGCTTCTATAAAATAATATGGGGATAACATTTTCATGACTTGGGATTGAGAAACATTTCTTAAACAGGTTACAAAAAAGCATTAACTATAAAGAAAAAGATTGTGAATTTGGACTGAATAAAAGTTAAGAACTCCTGTTCATCAAAAGACACCATTCAGAGAGTGAAAAGGCAAGTCACAAAATGGAAGAAGTATTTGTAACACATAACTGATGATCCCAACAGTGAGATCATCCAGAATATGTAAAGGACTCTTACAAATCAATAAAGAAAAAGATGGACAACTCAGTAGGAAAATGGGCAAGATTTAATTTAAGCAGGCATTCATAAAAGAAGATCTCTAGATAGCCATTAAAACATGAAAAGGTACTAAATCTCAATATTAATCAGAGAAATGCTAACTAGAACCACAACGATGTAGTATTCATACCCAGCAGAATTGCTGAAGTAAAGACTGACTATACCAGTTACAATGTTGTACTGTATGTGCAGGTGTGCAAGCTCTTGTATACTGCTGGGGGAGTGAAAATTGATAGGACCGATTTGGAAAGCTACTTTGAGTTTTCTGCTAAAGTTGAACATATATGTATGGCTTATAACAGTTCCACTCCTGGGTGTGTGCCCAACAGAAATGTGTGCTCATTTGGTGGACATTTGGTAGGATGTTTATAACATTGTTATTTTTAGTAACACCAAGCTGGAAATAATCCAGATGTTCATTAATGGGAAAATGGGTGAATAAACATGATTTGTACAATGGGATACCATAGAGCAATGAAAAAGAATAAACTACAAGTACATGCAACAAATAGATACCTCTCATAAATAATTTTGAGGGAAAGATGGCAGCTAAATTACAATATGTATTGTGTAAGTCCATTTATATAAAATCCCCAAACCTACAAAACTGACCTTTGATGTTAGAGGTAGGACGAATACCTTTTGGGTGGCGGGAGGAGTTGGGGAGGAGGTTTTTGATGTTAATGTCCTATTTCTTGATTAGGGTTTTGGCTACATGGGAGCAATCACTGAGATACATGCTTATGTTTTATATACTTTCTGAATTTATAATACCTCAGTAAACATGTTCAAATATATTTAATGAGGGATATAGATTTTCTTTCTTTTTTCTGATTTACTCTTTTAAGGCCAGCCTGACGTCCATCAGACTGTTACTTCTGCAGACTAATTTTACCCGAGATAATTGTTTTAACCATTTTTTGCCAAGGTGTGTCAGGAGCAGGTTTGAATGAATATGTCCAATCAGGCTTTGTTGACGTTGTTGATTTTGCCAGTTATTAGCTTGACTATAAAAAGAATTACTGTCTTTTAGGTCGTGATAAATTGTGCCATTCCTAAAGGGTTGAAGTACAATCAAGCTACACAGACCTTCCACCAATGGCGGGATGCTAGACAGGTGTATGGTCTTAACTTTGGCAGCAAAGAAGATGCCAATGTCTTCGCAAGTGCCATGATGCATGCCTTAGAAGTGTTGAATTCACAGGAAACAGGTAGGGTGTCCTCTGGTTACTTGTTTTCTTGAACTGAAGTGTCATGTATATATTAAACCAAATCTTTTCTGACCAACTTTAAATCATGTATGTATTCGAAGTGATTCTTGAATTTCTCTTGTTTTCTACAAAAGTGTGAACTTTTGGTTGTTGATGATAAACGTGTTCTATAAAAGGATAATCTTATGAGACTGTTTGTTAGTAATTAGTAATGTTTTAACCTTCTCATTTGAAGTTATTTAGTTTGTTTATTCTGATCTAGAACCTCAACTTTCATTGCAAGGACATGAGACCCAGAGAATATGCAGTGGATTGAATATGCATATTTGTCATCATCTTATTTTTTATGAAAAAAACACATGTTATCTCAAACATCTTTTTTAAGCCACTACTGAACTTCAAGTAGGACTATCTACTTCCTAGTAGATAAAATTCTAAAAGTTGTTTAAAGATTTTTTGGAGTGCCCTCAGGTGGTACAAGCCATGAATTGCATGTCCTCTGACACTGCATTGTGGTCAGAAAGATGTGTAGAAATAATTCACATTATTTTAAAAAAACACAGGATTTAAAACTGTGTATGTATCAGAGGTGAGCTCTGTTTTTATTTTGGCTTAAAAAAATAGGAAAAATATACCAATTTGTGGTTCTCTCTTTGGGGAGATTTTTATAATCAGAAAATTAAGGTTATAATAAAACAACACATATGATTACTCTTGTCTTTGTGTATTTAGTAGCAATCTTATTGATATAAGCATGCCATAAACAAAATTTATATATTTTGAGAGGAAAGACTTTTATAGTTATATTAAAATTTGGTATTTTGTTGAAGGTATAGAATTTCAAAACCTGTTATAGATACTTTAAATTTTATACCTTGCCCTATTCTAAAAAGGATTGAAACATCTAGCCCATGTGTTAGTCTATTTCACATATGAATTTCAGAGTAAGAAGAACCTTTTTAATCTTGCTAAAACTACATTATGCCTATAGGTAGTTTATATTAGATTTTCTTTTGAGGAAATTAGTATCTCTATAAATAATTTGTACATAACTCATATCTTATCTATTTTGAGAAAATAAATCACTGGAACTTCTTTTGGTTTGTCAGTAAGTCCAGAAAATAGCATAGAAAAGTCTGCTCGTATGTACAGTCTTGTATGTAGATCATCTAAGTCATTGTACTTTTCTTTCAGTCATCAGTATTTTATCAACATTCTCCTGTAGGTATAGAATTGCTTTTCTGTTGCCATAGTTTTACCATAAGGAAGCAACTCTAATTGTGGTTCTTAATATCTTAATTAAATAGATCAACTACATAATAAATAATTAAAGGACCAAACTTTAGATCTAAGAGCACATGTATGACAATAATGTTTGGCTTCTCCGTGTTTGGAACAATGTAACATTACTTTTATTTCTGAACCTTCAAAAGAGTATCCATGGATATTGGGAATTAAATGTTACTAATTTAAAGTGGTTAAAATTATTATTGTTCATCTTGTCATCAAATTTTTTTAACCAATTGGAAAAGATTGTTTTTATTGGTGTATAGTCATATAATTTGTTTTCAAAATGCAAATGCTAACTAATGTTTTTTCCTTCTGATCTTGATCTTTTGAAATTAATGAGTCTTAACGTGGAGAGACTCAATTACATTCTCTATTGTAAAATTTCCACATTATAGAAAGTTTAGTAAATGGGAAGATCGCCCATCATCTCATTAGCTACACAAGCATTTTGGTAAGGCAGAAAAATTGAATAGATTCTTCTCAGATAATTTTGAAGCTTTATTCTCTTCTCTGTCACAGTCTCAACTTATCATGGGCTGAGGAAAGAGAGAGAATGGTGGAAGAAGTTGGTCCATCCTAGCCATCTCCTTGCATCATGGCCCCAGTCACTGGCAAAGGAACTTTTGGTTCTGTAGCTTTTTCATCAGAGAAGACAAAGGAAGCATATAAAATGGCTGATGTTCTTTATAATCTGATTTATTTAGAAAGCGTTTTTGTAAATTACTGTAGTTAAACACTGTCTCTGATTTTTGATAGCATTGATTGGCTTGGCAGTGGAGGCATAGGAGGATTTAGATGATATGAATCAGAAGTGTCCTCGGGAAAGGATATAAACTTTTCTGTAGATCTCTGAAGTAGGATAGGTATGTACCCCACCCCAGAGTTATTCAGTGGGCCCCTCCTATCCACCTAAACAAACATACCCAATAATGTCACCTCTCATCTTGAACATCTTTTCGCCTTCCACAGCTGTTTGCTTTGGGTTCATAGCCAATTCCTTGCTAAAACCGTCTATTCTCTTCTTGCCAAAACCAAGTTGGGAAAGCTTAACTCTTGCATGTCCCTCCTTAAGCAAACAGTGTACCCCATAAATCTCTGATCAGAAGTGAAAGAAACAAACTTATTCATAAAGGTAAAGTAACTACAGCTATTAGTCTTTTTTACTTAGTGTTTTATCACTTTTTAAAACCAGTTTTCCATATTGAATGCTTCTGGCTTTTTTGTTTACTAGGTGTTAATGTATTATTCGTTGAATATTGGTTAGTCCTTCTTAGTGGTGTTCAGGCATTTTTAAGTTATGGACACCCTTGTTCAAACAAAATCTTTTTCAGATGCTCAGTTCATATACAGACCCCTCCCCACAAAACAAAAACAAACCTCCAGAGCTTCTCTGATTAATGTAGGAGTTGGAAGACCATAACCACTGGGGCACCCATGTACCCTAGAGCAGGATTTGGAAATTACTTAACCCATCTTCTCTGCCAAAACCAAAAATCGCACAATTCTCCCTTCCTCTTTCCCTTGACCCCCACGTCTCTAAATCCTCAAGCAAAATTTTTAAATTAACAAAAAACAGCTTTTTCTGTAGCTAGTCATACTGACCTTTAAAAGGTGCTCTGTGTACATGTTTAATATTTCCATTTCTTTCATGAAAAGGGTGGGTGGCAGGAATGTTTTCCTTTATTTTGTTTTTAACTTGATGTGCAAGTATCTAATATACTGGAAGGTACAGGAGGTGCTAAATACAGTGAGTTATATTTGGAATTTAAAAAACGCAAGTCACATGTTCTAACATTTTTGAAGAAGAGTTGAATTAGTGCTTTCTTTTATACCAAAAGCTGCAGTTTATCAGTTTCCTTTGTCTAATGGAAATGGACTCAAATAAGTACATTCAAAATGCGTTATCCCACCTGATGTTTTTGATTTCTGTATTATTAAGTACATTTATAGCAGTTTTGCAGATAATAGTTATGGATTATGTAAAATGTAAAGTCAGTCCTTTTCATCATTAGTGGATGTGAACTTGCACAATCTATTTCATTTTGAAAAAGATTGAAGTCATTTGAAAAGGAAATAATTTTTAAATTCCATTTTTTTAAAAGGAAAATCGTATTAGAGTTCAGTAAGATTATTCTACTATTGTTCTACTGAACCAAGATTAAGCATACCTTTATAAGCATACCTTTATAAGCATACCTTTATAAGAGGAAAACCTTAAAATATTTTACCATTAACTAAGACTGCTTTTGCTGGATTTTGTTTTATATCTGTTGAAAGCAAGATATCCTCCTGTTGGAAATTTTCTTTAGACTTGGTAATTAAATATTTATAAAGACTGAGATTCCATTCATTTTTTAACTGTTAATTTGGTCTGATAAACCTTTCACTGTGTGCATTTGTATGAGTTTTATCTTAGCATTTTTTAATCTTTTTGAGATATGTTTTGGAATTAAATGGATTTAAAATATCTCAAAAAGTTTCTAGAAATACTTTATGTGTTTTATAGTGACAGTTATTTTTCATTCTTCCAGAGTGCCAGTATTCATGGGAGCAATATTAAGGTTATATCACAGAAACCATCAAACAGGTTTTGAGCGTAGGTCCTGTGCTAGGCACTGGGAATAAAGCTAACATGATAAGGCCTATCCCTTGCCTTCCAGGATTTCACAGCAAAATTAGAATTCGGTTTGTAAAATGCTGTGAATGAAGTATGCAGAAGAAAATTCTAGGGTAAAGGAAAGTTTTGAAGAGACGGTGATGCTTGAGCTATGTTTTAAAGAATGAGTAGGTGATAGAAGAACGTTCTGGATTGGCTTGGAGCCATGAGAGCCTGGAGCAGTTGGGAAACAAGCAGGTGATGTTGTGGCTTGGGCACGAGAGTTTCTATTGGGGGAGGGAAGTCACAAGAGATGAAACAGGGAAGGGCCTTGTATTCTTGCTGAGGGGTGTGCAACTCATGATGTCGTCTGCCGTATGATCTTTGAAGGGTGCTGAATAAATGTTTGATGTGATCAGGTTTGTGCTTCAGGACAAAAGTGATGGATTGGTGAGCATGTGGTTGCAGGCATGGAGATGGGTTTCGGACGCCGCTGTGATAATATCAGTGAGAACGATGAGGTCTGAAATGACACAGTATAAAGAGGAAAGGAGCAGAGTGAAGAGGAGGTGACAGACTTTATTCAGTGCCTACCGTGCCTGTGAAGACATTGTTCTAGGCCTTCTACTTATGTCCTCATTTAGTCGTTAAAGCAGTTCTGAGGCAAGAATAATAATCTGTTTATTAGGCACCAGCTGTGTGGCAGGTCCTAATTGGGCACGTTTATTACTGATAAACTTTATAACAACACTGCAAAGTTGGTGGCATTATCCTTTAGAGGTGATGTTGGAGCTTTCAGAAGGTCACTGGCCTGGCCCAAGGGCCCACAGCTAGACAGTGGCGTAAGTGGCGTTTGTACCCAGATTTAATTTTAGCATTCAGCCTCTTTCTACTATATCCGTGAGATGTAACGCGGACTGGTCAGGGAGGGGAGGATGGTGTTCTAAGACAATTAACAGATGTGTCAGTTTGGGCAGCTGGTGAAGATGGATTCTAAAGGTGGTCTTGGATAATAGTTTTCACTTCTAGCTTTCCTTAATCAATAATCTTATTGGAGAAGTTAACACTGAAACAGATAAAGCGTTAGCTGCTCATCAGGATTAAATGAGTAACA